AGGATTTTTATGAAGACAAAATTATTTAAAACTTTTTGTAGGGATGTGGGGGTTTGAGTCTCAGTAAGTGTATGGCAGTAGGACAGCTTATGGCAGCGCTGCTTCAGCTCTCGTAGGATCAAAGGATCCAGGAAAAGACATCCCCTGAAAATTGGTAGTTTCCTTAGACATCACTCTCCTCAGTTCACTCTCAGATCTGGCAAAGTTTCAAATGGACTGTTCCTGGAGAATTATCAATACAAGGTATAATAACTGCACACTTTAGCTTTTACCTTTATTAGGAAATTCTATCATGAATAAATATGAATGTTAGCTAAAGTGATACTGTCTGTAATGCAGATGTAGTTAATAGAGATACAGAAAAAAAGTACTTTCAACATCATTTATGATAATTAAGTTCTGAGTCTTGTTTGAGGGAGGTATGTGTTGCTGGCCGATTCAGAGTAAAAATAGTGATTAGTGATGATATTTTTCTTATGCAAATCAATCTCTGATCTATAGATAGCAACAAATTCTTCTAACAGGACAAACGGAACCAGGGTTTTTATTCAGAAGCTTTGAGATGTTGTAGTCTGGATGCAGATATAGGGGATGAAGAGTTGGCTTCTATGGATTTTGTGGATACTATTTATTTATTTTATTTTTAAATGGAGTTGAACTACTTTGCCCATCCTGTGTCCCAGGCTTTTTGCGCCGATGGAGATCCTGGAGGGGACAGGGCACTGGGGCTGGGCAGGAGCGACTTCAGGTGGAATGGATTGCAGGGGCAAGCAGTGGTCTTTTTCCCTGAGCCAGGAATGAGGAACTAAACCATGTCCAAATCTGGCCTTAAGTTTCATGCAATTTTCATTTTTGTTATAGCGTGGAGTTAGGAGGAGTAGTACGCAGACACCTCAAGAGATAGGGGCTGTAAAATGCTGAGCAGGGGGCTCTTTAGTCATAAGGGGAAATATTTCAAAAATATTAAAAAAAAATAGCACATAACAGTCAGCTCATGGCAGACTTCCTTATAAAGTACTTCTGCTATTTTGGCAACTAAACTCAAGGTTGGTGGGGGGGGGGGATTGTTTTCAGAATACCCGATGTCTGCGTAGCACGGGGAGAGGAGGGCACGGCTGGACAGACAGCACAGATGACTGAGCTCGAGGAACCCCAGTTCAGACCGTTAAGGTACAGCACAGTGCTGCCCTCTGAGAAACCCGAGTTTGCTTTGAAACCTGGAATGGTACATGTGTGTTTGTTCGGGGCTGCGCTGAGGCTTATATTCTCAGCTGCTTCTGGTTAATAGGACTAACCCAGATGAACTCCGAGGAGCTCCTTGCGGCGCGGCACTGGCTCCAGGTCCCTTTGCCATCCTCCTGTTGAACTGGGCGAGAATGAATTCAAGCCCCAGTGAGCCGGCCAGACAGATAGCAGGAGGCGAAACGCTGTGGGAGCGTCGTAGCCTGGATCACACCGCAGGGTCTGTGGCCGAACTCTGCTGAAACCCAGAGCAGCGCTCGACGGCAACAGGTCCCCGCTTCGGGATGGGGGAGAGCTGGGGGGAGCAGGGCTTTAGAAGAAAAATGGGGTCACTCATTCTGCAGCTTCAGCTCTGCATTGTTTGTCGCGCTCAGTGAAAAGGCACTTAGGTTAACAAAAGGAAAAACAAGCTGTTTTCAGTATGTTCACGTTTGGATTTGGTGCAGGCAATTAAACGCCTTTGGCGTGGATGATCAGTTTGTACAGTCCCCCCCTCGATCCCCCCCCCCGACCCTTTCACACGACTTTCTCTTTTAATCTGCAAACATTCCTTTTCCTGTTCTCGCCCTGTGAATATGGGAAAATAAAAACAGTTTAGAATTTGCCCAAGAAAAATACACAGGTCAGGTGGATTACAAAGAGATCGGGTTGCCAAATACCGGGGGAACAGGTGTTTTATTTGGTGTTTTATTTAGTGTTTTACACCTGCTGCCGGAAAATCCACAATATAAACATTTAATAACCTAGGGAAGGCAAAGGGGTCCGGGGTAGGATGATGGTGGGCAAGGCAATACTGTGTCTTTAATTTTCTTTTCTGAAGGAAGAAAGTCTGCATAGCAATGACAGGCTCACTTGTTCATGCCTTTAATGTGTGATCTGTTTTCTCCAGTGGAGGGCACTCAGTGTATCACAAACTAGAACATTAGCACCAACAAGCTCCAAAGCATCATCACTCTCTGGAAAGCCTTCTGAATTAGACAAGAGCTGCCTCTCAGCACAGCTACAAAACACTTTAAACCTGCCCGGCTAAATGGATAAAGCTGCCCTGCGTAGCGTTTGAAGCGGGGTCTGGCCCGGCCGAGGAGGCCTGCCTGTTCTGGGAGCCGGGAGCTGAGGATGGATGGCTGTGTCTGGGAATGGCAAAAGGCAGCGGAATGAGAAACGCTAGGTACCGGCACAGGGTTTTTCATTTCTCCCTGCGAAGTTGGTTTACCTTCGTGGTCTGCTATAGCTTTTACTTGCTGATTGCCACTTAATGCTGATGGTTCTCTGATGACTTACACAACGGCTCTCAGAGCTTAGAGTCCCTCCCTACCCCCCCACACACTCCCCCCCTTCCTTCGTCCTGTCTTCCCCACCCCCAGCCCCTTCCCTATCCTTTCCCTTCCTCATCCCCAAAATTCTTGCTTGTCCTCTCTAGGGAACTTTGTGTGGGTTACTGGCATGCACGCTGGATGGCGGTGATGTGAGTGGCAACTGTGCTGTGACATGAAGATTCTGATGGTTTGAAGAAAAGAGACCAGTTTTAAAAAGCGAGAGAGGGAGGCAAAGGAAGAGCAAAAAAAAGGAAAGAGAGAGAAGAACACGGCTGGAGAAAGGAAAAGGAGGACGTTTGTGGATGACAAAAGGATGGGTAAGCGAACTTTTCTTGTTTGTTTGCTAGCACGGCTGCAGCTGCATGCTATGTTTTTCAGTTGGATTATTAGCTGTTCAAGAGGGGGAAACAGTCTAAACAGCAGCAGTGCATTCCTTTGCCAGGTGACTCACTGTACTTGCTATTGTATTTTTAGATCATGTATCCCCCCCCTCCCCGGGCACATACACACCTTTCCTCCTGCAGTGGTTTTATATGTAATTAATCTGTAAATGCCTGCACCGAGTTAAGGACTGTAGAGAGTACGTTCGCTGTCTGTACAACCCACCCACACACCTGCACACGTATAGATAAGTACATGTATGCATGAGGCACGCTCAGACAAAATTTCTTCTGGGTTTATATTCATATTCGATGAGCCTGGAGTGGTATTATTTAGGCTGTCGGAAAGGACTGTTAACACTTTGCAGTATGTGGGAAGCAAAAGGCGGGGGTGGGGGTGGGGGTGGGTTTTTTTCTTGCATAGGTGGTTTTGAAACGGCTTCTTTGGTCTTTGAAAAGATACCCCTAATATTGCTGCTAGATTTCCAGCAGGCATTTGCCAGTCTTATTTTTTCAAGTGTGACAGGTTTATTTCCCTCCCTCCTTCCCCCCAACCCCCAAGTCTGTAAGAGCCAGAACATATTTCTAGCTGGCTGCTGCTGGCACAGAGGCAGTCGCAAAAGATGAGGATTTAAGTGAAAAATCTAACCGTTAAAGTGAAAGGCAGAGACACATAGTCAGGGGCATTTCAGATTAGGAATTATTTTGCAGGATTGCCCCTTGATTTTAAAATTGGATTAGATAACTGCAGCACAGGGTTGGTTTTGTGTGTGTGAGAAATAATAAAGTAATTATTTATCGAGGAGATACCGGCCCTTAAAATACTCCCTGCTGGAAGAATGCATTTTAATTCTTAGCAAGATTGCAACTCTGGACAGAGGCACCGGTCCTAAAATTATTCCAGGCTAAGGGAAGTGTGCGTATGTATGTTGGGTTTTCTGACAGCCCCTCCGCCCCCTTTCAGAATTATTCAAAGAATGTGGAAAATGTGCCTGTCCTCCCATAACGGCATTGCTGCTGTATGATAAATTTGACATCTCAAATGCAAAATCTTAAAATCAGTATATCTGTGGAAGAGAGAGGGGAGTTAAAATCAAATATACCCCTTTAAACTTTCTGGTTTTTCTGCTGCTCCTAAAGCAGCATTTATATGTAAGTATTTGTGTGTATATTTTCATAGATCATATAATGTCTATACAAGAAAATAAATGCGTATGTATTCGCAGCTACATCTAGATGACTTTAAATGAATATGCGTTAAGACTATGATTCATTTGAAAGAAATATGTCTTCTACCATTATCTTGGTATTGGGGTCCCATACTGGTGCTGTATGGTATACTTCACCAAATGGTCGAACTTTGTCTCTCTGCATCTATATATGTATTTTAGGTACATAAAAATAATGAGTAAACCTACTTAAACCTACTCTTAAATCACTCAATGCAAAAAGTAAAGCCTTTACTTAGTGTCCAATTTTACAGTAAATACATGTTTTAAAGACGGATCAAACTTTATTACAAGTAGATTTCTCACTTTTTGCAGTAATTTTTGGAGGAACTGGACTTGCCATTGCTTTTATTAAGGAACACATTTAGCAGCACGTAAATACCAGAAGCTTTGGCTCATTTCCCTTCCAGCACTATGGAGCATTCAGCACAGTGACTTGACAAATATGTTTATTGTTAAAACCTCAGCATCTAGCGATAAGGATATACCAGCTACACTGAGAGATGATGTACAGGAGAAAAGCGAATAGAGAACAGGCTCTTGGTTCTTCTAGGGGATCATAAATCACACAGAAGTAATTGAATAACAAGGGTAGTACTGGTGATGGTGCGGGTAGGAGAGATGGCAAGCCAGAAACTCAAAGGACAGGAATTTACACGGCAGAAAGTGCAAGACAGGAGGCAGACAGGTTGTCTTCAAAATCCGCCGCTTCACTAATGCTTTATTCGAAACCCCATTGACGTTAGTAATCTGTTGGCGATTTATTTTGATAGCTTTACAATGCACATTTGTTTTCTTTTTAATATTGTAGGTTTCCATTTAATTAAGCAGCTGAGAGGCATGAGTGTGGTGTTAGTGCTGCTTCCTATGGTGCTGTTTGTTATGCTTGCGGGGGCTCAGCGAGCTTGCCCCAAGAACTGCAGATGCGATGGCAAGATTGTGTACTGCGAATCTCATGCATTCAGAGACATCCCTCAGAATATTTCTGGAGGGTCTCAAGGCTTATCGTTACGGTACAACAGCATTCAGAAGCTTAAATCAAATCAGTTTGCGGGCCTGAATCAGCTCATATGGCTTTATCTTGACCATAATTACATCAGCTCCGTGGATGAGGATGCATTTCAGGGGATCCGCAGGCTGAAGGAATTAATTCTAAGCTCCAACAAAATTACCCATCTGCACAACAAAACGTTTCACCCGGTCCCCAACCTCCGCAATCTGGACCTCTCTTACAACAAGTTGCAGGTGCTGCAGTCTGAGCAGTTCAAGGGCCTTCGTAAACTCTTGATCTTGCATTTGCGGTCTAACTCGCTGAAAACCGTGCCGATCCGAGTTTTCCAAGACTGCCGAAACCTTGACTTTCTGGATTTGGGCTACAACCGCCTGCGGAGCTTATCCCGTAATGCTTTCGCTGGCCTTTTGAAGTTGACAGAGCTCCACTTGGAGCACAACCAGTTTTCTAAGATCAATTTTGCCCACTTTCCACGCCTCTTCAACCTCCGCTCCATTTATTTGCAGTGGAATAGGATCCGGTCTATTAGCCAAGGGTTAACGTGGACTTGGAGTTCCTTGCACAACTTGGATTTATCAGGAAATGACATTACAGGGATAGAGCCTGGGACCTTCCAGTGCCTCCCCAACCTGCAAAAGCTGAACCTGGATTCCAACAAACTCACCAACATCTCTCAGGAGACCATCAATACGTGGATCTCGCTCATCTCCATCACTCTGTCCGGAAATATGTGGGAATGTACTCGAAGCATTTGCCCTCTGTTTACTTGGCTTAAGAATTTCAAGGGAAATAAAGAAAGCACTATGATATGTGCAGGCCCTAAACATATCCAGGGTGAAAAGGTGAGCGATGCTGTGGAAACATATAATATCTGTGCTGAAATCCAGGTGGTGGTTACTGAGAGATCGTACCAGACACCCAAAACCCCCCAGAGACCTGTCTTCATTCCTAAACCTACCGTTTCCAAACTTGAAAGCAATCAGCCAACATCTGTTATGCCGAGCCCTTCTGCAGACCTCCCGACACCTGGAGTGGAACCAGAGTACGAGCACGTTTCCTTTCACAAAATAATCGCTGGGAGCGTGGCCCTCTTTCTTTCCGTGGCCATGATTTTGTTGGTTATCTACGTGTCGTGGAAGCGCTATCCAGCCAGCATGAAACAGCTCCAGCAGCACTCGCTCATGAAGAGGCGCAGGAAAAAGGCCCGAGAGTCCGAAAGGCAAATGAACTCCCCTTTACAGGAGTATTACGTGGACTACAAGCCAACAAACTCTGAGACCATGGATGTATCGGTTAATGGATCTGGGCCCTGCACGTATACCATCTCTGGCTCCAGGGAATGTGAGGTATGAACCATGATCCTCCTAAAACCATTTCAGCTGCTGGGAAGGAGAGGTAAATGTTTGAAGCTCTTGAGGTGTCTCTAAACACTAGAAAGATACATAAGATTGGGGTTTTTTTTGCTTTTGGGTTTGCTCAGTGGGAAAGCTTATCTCATTAAATAACAGCAGCCAGGGAAGTGACGGTGATTACTTTGAATAATTCAGACTTATAAAACAAATAGATTACGTTGAAGTAAACAACTATGGTAAAGGCATCTGGAGTGTTATTCTCCTCCATTTTATTAGCAGTGGCTACAAGAGAGTCCTATTTTTGATGTATTGGTAGAAAGAGAGGAGTTGAAGAACACTTTATGTTCTAAAATAAGTATGGAAACCTCTTTACTCCAGACCTCACATCAAATCTTGAGGGGTTTATGGCCTATTTAAAGATAATGCCAAAGATTTTCTGCATTTTCTGTCTGGTTCAGGAGGAAACCAGAGGGCAACAGGACTGGAGCACAGCCTTACAGTTAGGCATGCGCTTGTTTTCCTGGAGAAGCAGGAGCGTACAAGCTGCCTTGCTCGCTCTTCCAAACCTCAGCCGTGTGAAGGCCCCAAGTCAAACAGTACATCCCCGAATTCTGGGTTGGGACAGGGGGATTCTTGGGGTTTTTTTTATTTCATTTTAGTGATAAGTGAACACTTAGCCTGAAAAACAACTCTACTGTAGTTAATAGCTTCACGCACTTAAGGCCACGTTATGATTTTGATTCAGCAACATGGGGAATACAAATAGCAAAAGCTCTCAGTGCTTCTTTTGTCTGTTCAACTCTGGCAAAAAAAAAACCAAACCCAAACATATTTTTTCATTGCTGTATTGTCAATGACTATTAATGTGTAAGTAAACTGTTTTTACTTGTGGATGCCATTGCTTATTCATATCTGGTGAGGACGATGTGTGCGATTACATTTCAGTACTTGTTACTTAATCCTGCACGTGATGCGGTGGTATTAGGGGACCGTGGTTGATGTTGCTTCCTTGGTTGCAGAAATCCTACCCGAGAGTGCGTAATGTACCTGTTGAAATCCATTTATGCAAATTGGGTTTGACTATGGTAGATTTTGACCCACGTCTTTGACAGCCAGGTAGTATGGAAGGTGCGTGAAAGATGAGCAGTGGTGAGCAGGCTGCAGTTCTGGGATCCTGATTTTTTGAAGGTGGATGTTTTCACTTCCTGACAATAGGGCACCTTTAGGGCACCTTTAAGATATTTCATACTTGGCATCTACCTGGTTTGGCACCATGGGATAAGGGCAAGAAAAAAAAAGCTGTACGTTTTGGGGTTGCTCTCGTGGAGCAGTGATGTCTTCAGTAAAGAAAACCACCTGTCATGCCCTTGGCATTTCCACAGCTATCGTGTGAATGAAGGTGTGGGGTTTTTTCCCGTTAGCAGTGCAAGTAGAAAGTAAGTGATGCTAACAACGTTATTTTGGATTTTCCCTGGCTGTCACAAGGAGCATTAATCTGACCTGAAAGGCTGTCTGCTCTTCATGTTCAAGTTTAACACTGCTGAAGTTTCATTAGCTTGAATAAAATGCTGATTAATTTACACCAAGATGATTTGGAAGACAGCTGAATCCGCACGCCATAGCTGAAAGTCCATGTAATGAAACCATAATACGTAATGGAATTTGGATCGTGACTGTAGTGCACAGAAGATAGGGAATATGTGATGTTGCTTGAGAGACTGAAATTCAGATAATTTGGATTATGGTAGGTAATAAGTTGAAGAGTCCTACCAGGTGAAGTAGCAGAAGGTCAATGTGGCGTAACTTCCTCAAGTTGGTGTTGACTGTCAGACTCAACATGAAACACAAGGGGCCCCCAGTTCACCTGGTTTCCAGGTGCTGTTGAGCACCAGAGCAATTCCATTCCGCTGCTCTGTTCAGGTTAAGCTGAGCTGGTGCACATCTTCGCGGAACTCAAGCTGGGTGTCGGGTTGGCTGTGGGATTCTTGGTTACGGTGTAAATCGGTAAGACTGTACCGAACATGACGGTGCTATGCCAGGCTGTGACGGGTAGAAGATATGCTCTGTATGTGCGTGGGGATTTCGTATGCGTTGGCTATTAGTACAGAAGACTGCAGAGACAGAAAACAGCAGATCATTGAAGGCACATGTAGCAACCATAAGCCCCCGCTGAAATACTATCTTCAGTGTGGATTTAACATTCTTCGTCTCCATAGCTACAAGGTTCCACTTGTAAAAGGATAGATATGCACTGTACAGTACTTAAAAATGGTAAGAAAAAACAATCCTTGTAGTGTCTTCAGCTGTGGAAAGGTTTTATGTTTGGGGAAAAAAAAAAAAGAAAATGGCATATGTTGTTATTTACTAATTTACCTAGATGTACATACGTGCTTGGGGGAAAACTCTGATTTGGTACAAGTGAGGCCCGTCCTCCTGTCGGCCTGCCTTGCGCGTTCCCTGTGCTCAGACCGAGGTTTCTCCCAAAAAAGGACCACTGAGAGGGGAGCAGAGTGTCTGCTTATCAAAATGAAGGCAGGCAGGCTTTCAGAATTCATTAATTCATTGCTTTTATTTATTGAATTTATTTTTTTCAGTACTATTTTTCGAATGATTGTCTGCTTTCACATGTCTGCCCCCACACACACCTGTAAGCAGCTGAGGTGTCCAAAAATAGCGTGTCTTCCGTGGTTGGTGACCACGAACCGTTTCCAAGCGTGGCCGAAGGCCTGGCGAGCAACCCTGTTACGTTCCTGGTGATGATTTTGTTTTGAGAAGTGTCCGACTCATCTCATCCACAAACCATGTATTTTCCGTGACAGAACTGGCCTTGAAGCGACATGCTTAGGTATTTACCCAGGTTCTTTTTTTCACAGCAGCTATGCAACATGAGCAGGGGAGGTTGTTTTAAGTGCAGTGAGATTTCTGGCGTATAGCACAGCCACAGAGGCGCACGAGAGCTGCCCTGTATTGGGTCCGTACGCGGCAAGCAGGGGAGTTGCAGGTACGGTGTGTACGGCTGCTTTTTCGCCTCCAGGCTTTATGAATTATTTCTTGTATTACAGAGAGCGCCAAAGTCGGGCTTGCTGTAAATGGGAGCAACTTTCTTGGCATCAGTGGGATTGTAATCACTGACACCTGGCCTCTGGTATTCTATTTAGTCTATTGGCAAGGGTTTCTAAAAAAAACCTGGATGCTTATGATTTTGGCTCTCACCATCCAGTTAGCAGACTGCTATCTCATTTTGGTATTTGCTTTGCTTTGTGCGTGTGCATCTTATTTCCTCTCTCTTTCATATTTATTTGTACATTTGTTGAAGATCTGGGAGCCATAAAAAGCAATTTCATAAACCAAGCTATAATATTCTCTCTTTCGTACGTATCACACACAAAATATCCGTATGTAGCACGCTGTGAAGGTATATGGGGAGAAGGAACGAAAAGGTTTCCTCCTTTCCCCTGGAAGGTTATTCGTCTCCTGTTTCTCAGGCTGGCAGTTACAAAACAAACAACAGCCGACCAAACAAGTGAACATCTTTTCAGTGTTCACTGAGCAGAGTGGATGCGAAGCCCTTTGAGAGACGGTTGACACAGACCCTGTGAGGTTACTTTTTACACTTTTGCTTCTCGATGTCTAACCATACCCCGGCGCTTGCCAAACACCCCCACCTGTTCACATACGGCCGCGGCTCTGCTGCGATGCTCCTGTGTTTTCCACTGGAGTGAAAACCGGGGCATTTGTCACTTGTACTCATACATGCTAAATCAGTCACACAAAATTACGTTCGCTTTGAATTGTGCTTCCTCCCCTCTCGCCAGTGGGAAGAAATAGATTGATAAAGGAATGCAGTATCTGCAGACGTGGTGGGCTGCTGTTGACCTCCTTTTGAGCCTAATTTAAAGGGAAATGTTGACATGCCACTGTTGTTTAGTATTTATTTATTAAACGCCATTACTGTGTTGTTTTGAACAAGATGCAAGAAGGAGAAAACAAAATAATCTGCATGGCCCAGATACTGTTTAGTCCGAGGTTCCAGTTCTGTGAAAGGTGTTCATGGTTCTGTAACCCAACTTTGGAAGGGCCGCCCAGGGCTCAGCGTGACCTTAGGGGGTATTGTGACTTCATGAGAGAAAGCACTCAATGATTAGGCATAATTTCTTTTTGTTTTGTTTTGGTTTGGTTTTTTTTTTTTTTGAAGAGCAGTTACCTTATTTCCTTTGGTCATCGGCCCTATGTTTTTATAAGGAATATTTAAGCCCTATGTTTTTATAAGGACTACTCCGCAAGGACTTTATGGCAGAGCTGTCAGTTCATCACAGCTTGGGGGAATGGAGAAGGAAGGGGATTCCACAGGTAGCGCGTTACAAAGAGGAGAATGTGGGAGGTGATGAGTGGGGAGTATGGGAAGCAGTAATTGTTAATTGGATATCCTACTGTCACCATTTTAGGGCCAAAGCGGTGCGGTTGTCTTTCCAGTGAACATGTTTTGGAACACCAAAGGATGGGCATTGTTTAATTCAGCTTTCTCATGTCCTTGTGTGCGATGGCTCCTCCTCGGCCTCTCTTTCTCCACCTCTCTGATTATAAATGGACTTCAAATTTTTGTTTGAGTTGTAAACTGAAGGGTGAATCAATCTAATGAAACTCTGTCATAAGCTCCATGTTTGTATAGGGAGAGTAAGCAAAGGCTAAGCTGATAGCTCTTTTCCTCAGTGCAGTATATCTGGAATAAATATGTCAGAAGCGGCTCAGAGGTGAAATCTTTTGGGCACGGGGCCAGCGAGAGGTTTGAGGAGAAGGTAAATTTTAGAAATGTCTTCAGGATTAGTACCAAAGGTAAAAATTTGTGTTTGTTACCATTCAGAGGCTTCGTTAGCCTTGCATACTTGTTATTGCAAGTATAATGTCGGTATACAGAAAGCTGTGCTATAGAAGTACAAGTGATGTAGCAATAAATGCAAAGGGGCAAATTTTCCTGGGCTCAGCACTTGTAAAGT